TGAAAATAAATAAAATCATTTCTGAAAACTGAATGAAATTAAAAAGAAAAAAATTTGTTTGAACAATAAAATCTAAGAATTAAAAGATATTAAATTAGAATAGAAAAAAAGAAGAAAATAGTACGTAAGGATTAAATTAATAAATTAAATGAATTATAAAATGAATATAAAAATGAAAAGAAAATTGCATTAAAAAATTACAAAAAAATATGGTTTAAAATAAATAAAATAAGTCCCAAAACGAAACAAAAACAATTTATTTTGCTTTTTAAAACTACAGGATCTAAAATCGGAAAAAAATTAGAATATAGAAAAAAACTTAAATACATTTCTAAAAATTACATAAAATTAAAAAATGTTTTTAACACAATGAAATATAATAATTAAAAAAAAATTTATTTTGAACAAGTAATTTGTATGCAAAAAACAAAACCGACTTCAATTCTCATATAGAAATTTAAGAGACCGCTAATTTCTTTATGATCCAATCTATAGATCGAAACCAAATTAGTATGGGACCACCTCGGAGACACTACTTTCCCTTTACAAAAATAATTATATAAATCGGTTAACGTGGTCCAATGTTATGCTGTAATATACATACAAAATATATTCCGAAGAACTTGTAACCTCCTCCCTGTAAAAAGCTATAGTATTCGCGGCCCGAGGTTTCCAATCCGGATCCTTAGAAATCTCATCTCTACTTTCTAGTTTAGTACGAGTGCTACTAGAACCTTTCCAGAGAAGAAGCTAAAAGGGCTAAAAAATATAGCTAAATCAAAATTTCAGTTATGTATGTCTAGAAAAATCTAGAGATATAAATTAACATTTGGTATACTTTATGTTATTACAACTTTATAGCAGTACCAGTTAAGTTAAATTGATAAATATTTGTAGGGAATAACTTATTTTACACATATTTAAGAGAATATTTTTCGCAGTCTCACAAAATCCGCCCATTGCGGCTGTTGCAGCGCACAGAGGAGTATACTTTTGTATCTTTAAACATATTATTACCTTCCTTTTATTAACTCGGGATGTAACTATGTAATATTGATGCGCCTAAAAGATGCAGCGATTTCTTTTCTCAAGTTACATACCTGATGACAGTACGAATGGCAATTATAATAGGGAGGTTTTAGTTTTTTAAACTATAATTTTATTATTATTTCTCAAGCTACATACGTATAAAACCCATCTACCAACTGGCAGTCATAAAAGTCGTCTCCGCTGCTTCATTTTTCATATATGTATGAGCGTCAAGTACAATACAGCCCTTATTGCGATATTAGCCACTAGTTATGATAAAGTTCCATGTTTTATTTTATTACTGAATAGAAAAACATATAAAATAATTTAGATCGGTTTGACTATGCAAATATTCCTCTGCGGTGCGCCGCATATTTATTCCTTTCGCGGGGGATGAAACGGCTGACTACAACGCCAACTGGTATGATGCTACTAGTATTACGACTAGGTAGTTCTGATGCGGTAACCGACAGTTGACAACCCGTATGACATCGCCATGTTAAAAATACCAGCCGCTAACATTGAAAAGGCATAGAACGTTAACTAGTTGTGCTGAAACGCAAACTGGTAGCATTCTAATTCACAACTATGCATGTATTAGCTTTTCCTGCAGGGTTATTTCACAAGCGCACACACGCAGTGCGGTGCCGGATATCCCGAGCGCCATCTAGCGGACACTAGGTATTACTAAACGGTAATTTCTGCTACGCACGCTTCCTCTGTTATTTTTCTGTTAGTTATTGTTATTAACAGTAAAAATAGAGAAACACCTATAGCAAAACAATACAATTATGTACTTCTCAGTAAAAAAAACAAAAAATACATACACATATGCCACATGTACATTAATATATATGTATGTATAGCTATATAAATATTAGTATTGTTAAAATATACTGAATGAAACGATAATTTTATAAAAAATTATAAAGGTTACCTCAAACTTTCGTTAATTACACACATACATATGTATATCAAGTTCGTTTCCACAGTCTTTCGATTAAAATATCTCATTACCTACTAGTGACCTTTAGTGTTTATAATTTTTGGAAAAAAATCGATATTTCAAACTTCAAACAAATTTTAACAATTGCGCCCAAAAATTTTAAACTTTTTATTACAAAGTTTTACAGCCTTATTCTGTATCACGAACGATAGGCAAGACGAACGATTCGTCTGCAGAGGAATGCTTCAAAAATTAGTCCGGCGGCATTATTTTAGCCGGTTTAAACGCAAGTCCAGACCTCGACAGTTTTCATTTTATATTTTTTTATTTTTTCTCATATTTAAATAAAGTTATTCGGGCGTGAATATTTGGAAATTCCGAACGCCATATTGGATTTTGCATTTTGAATTTTTAAAAACTAGTTTTAAATTTGTAATGAGCGAACTTAAGAACCTCTAAATACCAAACTTCATGAAAATTCAGTAATTTTTTATATTCTTGATGCTAAATAGGAATAAATTACACTAATCTTTAATATTTTAATACACCCTCTGTTATTTGGAACAACTGCTAAAGTTGGTGTTGTGAAATAAATTTAGTCCCTCGCGAGAGCTAAAATGTTCAAACATCAAAAATTATTTCTCTAACAGCGAGTGCCATAAATTGGAGAAGAAGCTTGGCTAAACACTAAACACTAAACAAAAATTTAAGTATCAAATATTTATTTATTTATTAAGTCTTTGAGCTATAATATTGTTAAAATATTGACTTGTAATAAAAACTACTAAATATTCAAAAATATTTACTGTAAAACAATACTAGCTAGATATGAACGTTTGTATGTATTGTGCATAGTTGACCGAAAACCTCATAGACGGTGACGGCTGATCGCGCAAGGTGACGTGTTTACTTCTTAACGCATTCTGCAAATTCGACAATTAGTGGCTTACCTGTCATGCGCAATGCCAACGAAGACAACTGCTAATGATTTTGCTAAAGCAACTGGCTCTAAACAACACTGAAGACGGCTCTAGAAGCCTATGATGCTTATGACCTTACAACAGGCGGCGTTTAACTTAAAAACGTGGATTTACAATGTGTGCTTATGTTTGCTAAGCTGAAGGTGAAAACAAGTGATGTAACTTACATACGCATGCGTTTTTCTAGCTTCCACATAAAAAAAAATACCCAAAAACTATAAGGGCAAAAATTCTCCTAGATAAGTATATCCTCCAAGCCGGTGACGACTGGTCAATGGGCATAGGCTGCTTACATACACCGTTGTGACAAGTTAGGCTTATTCCTATGCGACCTGCACATTGAAAATAAATATATGTATGTTGGTATGATACTGAGTGGGACGTGGCGAAGATTGCTGGTGGTAGAGAAATGATCACCTTTGTTGGGGAGATTCTAAAGGCTTGAATTTGAACTTAGGCCTTTCGAACCATTACGGATGCCTCAAAACCTGACACTGGGTTAGGATCTGGTGTCTATTTCGAATGTTATGTGGCTGAGCTACACTTTTTTCTTGGGGAATATGCCTCGGTAACCCAAGCTGAGGTATTTGCAATCCTCAAGGCAATGGACTACGTTGTAGGAAATAGGTGCAGAAAGAGCAGTTAAAGTGTCTGTAGTGACAGCCAAACAGCACCCAGGGCATTGGCCAGCCCTCTCAATCTCGCACGGCGTCGCGCTGGACTGCAGACTAATTTTGCGACTGAGATCTTTCACAGCCAACAATCTGCTTAGGTTTATTCGTTAATCAAGTAGAATTAAAACAGATTTAAAGGAATATAAAAAACACTAAAATGGGTGGCATGTAGCCTGAGTAATGATTTCTGCACGCATTGTTTATGCGTTCAGTTTCAACAAAAAATAAATAAATAAAATGCATTTGGCTTAGAAAACATCAAAAGTAGTGGCCGAAATGCATGAGCTTCAAAATGCATTTTAAATTTTGTATTCATAATAAATTTCTCAATAAAGTTAAGAGTGGTTTCCACTATGGACCGAAGATACATAAAATACATAATGTTGCTCAACATGTGACAATGAAATATGTACACTGCAACATGTTGTAACATCAAACAAATTAGCTTGGTATTTTTATAGCATATGCAGCCATAAATAATGCCAAATGTGTAAATAAGAAGTAAGTGCAAAAGTAACAAAAAGGAAGAGAATTCATCTTTCGTACATATATACTAACTAAAATCGAGAATTCCAAACGACCAACTAGAGGTCTGCATGAAATACATTTCGTCGTTTAAAGTACAAAATCGCGTATAAAAAAAAGGCAAAAGCTCGTGTGTGAAGTTTCCCTGATTTTATAGGAGAGAGTAAAACTTGTCTTATTTCAAAACAGAACCTCGATACTTTAAACGACGATATGTATGTATGTAAAATGTCACTAATCCCTCAAATAATTCAACATTTTGCTAAGCGTATTTGATTTTATACAAAATAGTCTGCACTGTACTATCTCGAAATTTTATTCAACTCATGCCGAGCTTTAATATGTTACTATGTATGTAGTATGTATGTGAATAAATACTTCATACATGGGCATCTTTGTTGGTAGCAGCAAACAAACAAATTCGCATTCGTAATTATGAGAGGCAATTAAATAATTAACGGGTTGGCAGCCAAAGGAGGTGATTTTAATGGCTTTTGGCAATAAAAATAAGCAAACAAATATTTATAATGAATTTCGTAAAGAAGAAACAATTAGCTTCTGCATGCATGCACAGAAAATCAAATATGCAAAGAATACGCAGATGTTTTAACAAACTGAAATCAATCCGCGGAATACCTTATGTCAATAAGTTGATGTCTTAAGTTAGTGTTGGTTGTTAGCATCTAATTTAGATGACCAGGTTCCAGCGGCCACTAATTACTGTCATTAAGCATCCGTTCAATTCAGGTTGCATACACATGTGCATCGGTATGTACATATGTATATAAGAAGACAAGTAATAAAAATCTGTAATACTTAGAAACAAACCAAAAAAACTAGTTTCAATTCATATATGTATATGTACATATGTATGTTTATTGAAATCTATAATATATGGCAGTTGTTAGGCAAAAAATCGTACAGGAAATACTTTACAATTAAAAAATTCTTAGCTAAACTCACTAGCTATTAAAAAAAAAATTAAAATTAACTTAAGTGAATGCTTTTCATCTTAACCGGCCGCAGACTTCAGTGCGCCAGGGCTCAATTTGCGATTCTTGATCATATAGCGTGGCTTATAACCATCCTTATCGGCTGTATACATCGTAATTGTTTCGATATCGGTTTTCTCATCGTAAACCGTGTAGGTACCCATTACGACGAGCTGTTCGTCATCTGTGCCGGGATTCATTACTACACCGATTTCTTCACGTTTGCTGCCATTTGGTTCCTCCAAGCTAAATGCAAGGAAATATTTGACTATATTATTTTGGAATAGTCGAAGAATTTACCACCATCGAAACTTACTTGAAACGATAACCCTCTTTTGTAGGTGCCAGACTATAGAACTCTGCCATGACGGTGGGGTAAATGTAGTCCAGAAATCCGGCATTCACGGAAATTGAGAAGGTGGCCAAAATGGCCATAGCAAGAAACTGAAAAGAAACATAAAGTTGAATATGAAAAATTGCTGTAGTATTTTTTATTTAGTTCTACTTAAAATTAAAAAAAAAAAACAAATTTTATACAATATGCTTTTATGTAATTTTTTAATGAAACATTTAAATTTTGTTCTTATTTTTTATTTGTCTGATACATTTTTTGTTATAGTCTTCAATTCTGCATATTGAAAAAGGCGAAACCCAATCCGACTTGGTAGCCTACTTAGATATTCCAGAGTAAAACGTGCACAGAACTAGCTCTCAGTCTACTTATTACACTAAGTCAATATATGGAAACGTGCAGTTAGTACGAATACGAGCATTGAATGCACTTAAGCTCGCTATTTGTGATTTTTTATGTGCTTCAATTATATTTTTGATATGGTACCTGGACTGGTAGCTGCGCGCTTTCCAGTTCATACTTGCGCTAGGCCTTGTTTATTCGAAAATTATTTTACGAGTTGAAGGTGAATAGCGAACACGAAGAATATTTTCATACCTATACAGTATTTTTATAGTTTTTCGTCAAACTTAACCAACTAGAGCAAAAACGGCCTAAGTGACAATTCGTTCAGGGCCTGCGAATCTCCCTAGCAATACGTGGATCAAAAAACACCAAAAAAAAGTTTCGTACAACACATTTATAGGTAAATCGTTATTAGTAACTAGTTGGATGACCTGCTATCTCTTCTAAATGATAATCTAATGGTCTAATGAGATCTAGACCACTCGTCCACCCGTGCAAAACCCAAAAGTATGACCTACCAAACCGATCAAAAACGGATGTCGGAAATACCCTCAAAATATAGACCATCCCTGAATTGGCGATTCATACTTTTTCGTTTTTCAATTAAAATATTTTCACTAATTATTATTTCTTTTTTTTTTTCAAGGCCTTATACCAATTATATTCAACAATTTTTATTGAGCTTGAGACCATTTTTAATGAAAAATGATGATTGTAGTTGGCTTAACAAATGAAATAGTGGAAAAAAGAATTCACAAGGCGAACTTAGCACAGCACGTAGGCGACTGGCTGAGTCAGTGAGATCGTCGGTTGGAATCCTACTGAAAGAAGTCTGATGCGAAAATGTGGTGATTTCCGAAATAGCTATCACTTCTACCATTTTTTCAAATTACTGTTGCTTTTCCACAATAAGTTTTTCATTAAAAACGTCCTCAAATTCAATAAAAATTGTTGAATATATTTTCATCAGTCCAGCACGAACTATTAAATAATAATCGATTGGCGCTTACACATGAAAAAACCTTTTTTCTATACTTTTTGGCGATGTGGCTTTGACCAGGACTTGAACCCAGGCGTTGCCGAGTGGAAGCGCGCACTGCTTACCTCTACACAATTACTCACTTTATGTTAACACCCATACCAACACTTATTTAAATAAACACTATAAGCAAAAATATGTAAAAGAAAATTTGAAAATATCGAGCCCTAACCGTTAAATAGATGTAAGCGACATTTGTTTCCAACATTTTATTTTTGTTGCAGAAACGCATCCAGATTCTGAATCAAAAATAATTTTTTTTTAAGTCGTAGTATGCACATATTGAAAAACACGCCGACTAAGAGTTTTCCAAGAATTTATATATTTTTAGTCTGCTTAATTTCTTGAGTTAAGTTTTGATTTTATATTTCCCCGAACTTTGATATAATAAACAACAACGAACACCTTTTTGTATCCGTAAATATTCTGTCACTTTACCACCCGATGGTCTAAAACATCCGCTCAATGCAAACTTACCAATTTCGCAGATGCCATG